TTGCTCATGACCGAACCAAGATCCAGTCACATTGGAACAAGATTGATTTTAACAATTTTATTGCTGAAAATTGGAAATGTGACATCGAGACTCAAGTCCAAAACATGAATAAGTCTTTCCACAGTGTCCTCCATGAAGCATGCCCGCTTAGTAAGACACTACCAAAGAAATCATTCATTGATGACCAGACATGGCAGCTGCGTGCAACCAAATTGAGACTACGAAAACGACTCCAGCAGACTAAGAAGCAGAGCCGATTCGACCTTTTGAGCAAAATTTTCAACATCTGGACCGGCAGAACCCAAGACCTGCAGCTTATAGCCAATCATGAAACCACAGTCCTCTGTGGGACATTGAGTCTTTCCTGCGAGTACTGGAGATGTTCGAAAAAGCTCAAACAAAGATTGCAAATGATGAAGACGAATGCACTGCAAACTGCCATAACCAACACGGGAGCACAAGCATCCGCTGGAACTCTTCTGCATGTTCTAAAACCATTTATTGGTTCCACGAACCTGAAGAAACAGAAACAAGCCAGCCTTCCCATTGTGCGAAAGAATGATGGCACCATTTGCGCAACACCGAGTGAGGCTTTGAACCGGTGGGTTGAGTTTTTCCAAGCCATGGAGGGTGGTCAAAGAATGACTCATCAGGAAGCACGACAGCGTTGGATTGATAACCTCCAGGGGTTTTTAGAAGAGACTGACATTCAGCTGCCTGTGCAAGAAATGCCCACGCTGTGCGAGCTTGAAGTTGCCTTTAGACGTGTCTCCATTGGAAAGGCAATTGGAATCGATGAAGTGCCGCCTGAATTGTGCCATTTTTGCCCAGTACAACTTGCCAAAATTTGCTACCCATTGTTACTCAAAGCTGCTTTGTTCGGCCAAGAAGCACATGAGCATAAAGGTGGTAAATTAGCAATAGCATGGAAAAAACGAGGAGACGTCAGAGATTGCCATACGCACAGATCGCTCCTTGTTTCAAGCCACATTGGGAAAACAATTCATCGAGCACTACGACAGAAATCTCATCATTTGTATGATGCTTACATGCAAAGACAGCAACTAGGTGGCAAAGCTCACATGCCAGTGTCCATTCCATTGCATATGACACGTGCATTCTTGAGGTGGAAACAACGAGAAAACCGACCGACAGCGGTCATTTTCTTAGACTTGACAGAAGCCTTTTATCGGACACTGAGACCACTTGCAGTCGGAGGCGTGTGCTCAGACCATTGTATCAGTCTCATGTGCCAGAAACTGGGGTTAGAATCCGATGCCTATCAGGACCTGTGCCGATTGCTTCAGGAACCATCAGCCCTTGCAGCAGCACAAGCTCCCAGGCATGTTCAAAAAATGCTCCAGGCTGTTCATTGTGATACATGGTTCAAACTAGGACAACAGCATGATTTGGTTAGGACAGAAATCGGTTCCAGACCAGGCGATAGTTTCGCTGACATAGTTTTTGGACTGCTTTGGGCCAAGCTTTTACAAAAACTTGAAAAAAGCCTAACCGCCCAAGGAATACTCGAACAAATCCCCGATGTAGAGTTTCCCGATCCTTACCAATCTCACATTCAGGAGGAATTTTCAATGATCCCACTGCTTGGTCCGACTTGGATGGACGATCTCAGCGTCCTTGTCACCGCGACCACCAATGCGGAACTCATCAGGAAAACACAGGTTGCCATCAGCCAATTAATTGACTCCTGTTTGGACTTTCAAATGGAACCGAATTTCCGAAAGGAAAAACTGAGGTTATGTTCACCTTCAAGGGACCACAATCGCGCGACTTTCGTCGGAAGTATTATAGCGGAAAAGCTTGCGTGCCCATTGTCTGTGAACGACAAACCTTTGAAATTTCGGTTGTCCCGAGATACCTCCACCTTGGAGGATTGATCCATCACAGAGACATCACCAAACAAGAGATCAAACGAAGACTTGCGATTGCAAACCAGGCATTCCAACAACATCGCCGTGTGCTTTACCGTAACAAGAATGTTGATTGGAAGATCCGATGTGACATTTTCAATACGCTTGTCTTAAGTAAATTCCTGTATGGTTTGGAAAGTTGGACATTCCATACGCAACAGCTCCGCAGCCAAATCCACAAAGGCATCATGAAGCTTTACCGCAGATTGATGGGAACATCCCATGACGCACACCTGACAGACCTTGACGTCTTGGTTTTCACGGAAATGCCAGATCCGACTGAACTGCTCCGTAGAGCCAGACTGAGGTATTTTGGTACGATCCACAATTGTAAACAGCATGCGCATTGGGGATTGCTTCAGGAAGACACAGAATGGGTTTCCTTATTAAAGGATGATCTGCATTGGTTGTGGACACAAGTTGGCCAGATGTCTGGCCTTGGTGACCCCAGCCTGCACTTCCCACAGTGGCAAGAATTGATCATACACCATGGTGTATACTGGAAGAAGCTCATCCGCAAGGGAATACGCCATGCATGCCTCCAGAGAAAAAAGGAATATCATGCCATTGAATTGCATCAGAAAATTGGCACGTTGCTGCGTGAGGCTGGATTGGTCTCGAACTTGCCGTCACAGCAACAGTCCACAACTCATAATAAAGAGGATTGCCATTACGGATGTATGAAGTGCCAAAAACATTTTGCTTCATTTGCTGGAGAAAGTGTACATATGTGCAAGGCACATCAGATCATTGCCCGTGAACGCTACCTCTTTGATGAGACGCATTGTCCTTGCTGTCTGCGTGAATTTCACACACATTCCAAAGTCCTTGCGCACTTGCGTCATGCACATAGATGCAGGGACACTCTGAGGAATCGTAGGATGTTATGCACTCCAGCACCTGGCCAAGGTTCTTTGCATGATTGTGACCTGGCTGACGCCCATGATGGTGCGTTGCCCATGATCCAGTCTCAAGGACCTTTGCTCCCCGAGCCATTGCCACGTGATTGGGACCGTCATGACATTGCGTTTCTGGAGGCAATTTATTTACACTTGCTGGATCAAACACGAGATTGTGAATTGGATGTGACCATGCGTGAATTTATCAGTGACTACCCCATCAGTTGGACCAGATGTAAACTCACACTGCAAGCATTTTGTGACCAGATCACTGTTGAGGATGCGGCAGTATTGAATTGGACGAAAGCAGAGATCATTTCGTGCATGTCTCAACTTGCAGATCCCAAGAGTTGGCCCTTTTTGCATGATCCATCAGCTGCACCCTACCATGAATCGCCTGCGGGTATTTGCGAATGGGAGGACTGGTGTAAGAATTTTGCTGTCTGTCCACCGCCTGAGTGGACACAATGGACTCCGCCACCCAGAACCCTCACGAAGCAGAAAATTCTTCTTCATGCATTCGCAGGTCGTCGCAGAAGAGGAGATGTTGAATGGTATTTGAACATGATCACTCATGACAATCCGGGATGTGTCATTTGTACTGTCTCAATTGATATTATCATTGACAAAATTCATGGTGACATTGCGAATCCCTCCACACGCGCAATGTGGTTGCATCATATTAAACAAGGTCATGTTGCGGGCTTTCTTGCGGGGCCGCCATGTAACACTTGGAGCAGAGTACGTGCTGTTCAGATGAAAGACAGCAAGGGACCAAGGGTGATTAGGACGCCTGACGCACCATGGGGCTTGAATGAGCTGAAGTTGGGCGAACTTTTCCAAGTGACAATTGCACCATACTCTTGGGTTTCTCCATTGAATGCATGTTGGCGCTCTCGCTTACTGAGGGATCAGGTATCCTGGAACACCCGAAGGACAGCGAAGAAGACAACACAGTCAGCATCTGGCGTTTACCCATAATGCGCATGCTTTTGCAACTTCCATGGATGAGGCAGGTTCATTTATCACAGGGACTTTTTGGAGCATCGTCACCGAAACCCACAACGCTGCTTGTTGTTGGTTTGTCAAAGTTGGAACAGTTCCTACATGCAGGTATGTTGAGTACGAAGCTGCAGTTTGGACAATCCACTGGAAAAGATGACAATGGCCAATTTTATACAGCCCCGTTAAAAGAATACCCGCCAGGATTTTGCATGGCAATGGCACGAAGCTTTGCAGATGAATTTTGTACGATTTGTACTAGCATGGAGTGCGGTACTGACCTGCCATCGTCGTTTTTGGATCTTTGCAAACACATGCAGGATCACGACTTTGGCAATTATATAGGGCTTGATTGAGATCCCTATGAGAATTCATAGCTCAGTCGCCACGACATCGTGACTGCAGACTGGAGGAAAAAATATGTATGTATGCACAATCATTGTACTCATTCCATATTACAATACATGGTACCATTCCAGTAGCGGTCATCTATCGATCACCATCATCATTCTCTTCCACCTTGGATTGTAGGGATTCCGGGCAATCAAAATCCCCTGGAAACCGGTGAGTGTAATCCGCAGGGTCATCATCCAAGAATGATGTTTATCGACTTGTCTTAAAAGTGGAAGATATTCGGAAGTAATAATCAACCATAGCTTTTTTACCCCCAATTCTGCCATTTGCCGGTTATTACAAAGCATGCCCTGCAAACTGGTTACAATGGTACGTTTATCACATTGACATGACTATAGTTACTACCACCCTAGCAACACACCAGGGCCCCCCACCCCCAGCCCATCCAATTTGAAAGTGCAACTATGTGTAATTAACTGTACATATGGCTATACTATTTGCTTTGCAAATGACATGTACAAATATGTTCTATATGACCCACACATATATAATATTAAATATATACACACATATGCTGTACCCTCTGGTAATTTAACGTAGCTATGGAAAATCACCATTTTTGATGGGAAAATCCGCTACAAATGGCCATTTTCAATAGCTACGTTAAATTACCAGAGGGTAACATTTCTGTAATCATACTACATATAAAATCATATAATCACACATAATCATATAATCATTAATTTATATATTATATTATACACATGTTTTTGTCCCACGTCCAAAGCACAATTTTCCACATCCAGAGGGTCGCCTCCTGCAGGATATCCTCTCGCGAAGTGGGTCCTTCTCCATCCGTCCGCTGGCCCGCCAGGATGCGCACCGGTGGCAGATCGCTGCTGCACCTGCAGATGCCATGCCGATGCCAAAGATATTTGGAAAAAAACGATGGAAAAAACGATGGAAAAACGATGGGAAACTTAGTGTTCATGGAAAAACTATGGGAACTTAGATATGGAAACATTCTTATTTGGCCAAGAAAGAGGTGAAATTCATGGTTTTGTTTGTGTGTTTTTTGTGTTTTTTATATAAAGCAATAAGATATACATACTCTCCAACTAACATGGACTCTGCCAATTGTGGACGTTAGAAGACTACTTTGCTCTAAACATTGGCAATTCTCAGGGTCTACGTTGGTTAGGGGGTGGTAATAGGTCATGATAGCTCTTCTATCAAAGGATATAACAGCTATACAACTACTACATGTATATATAATATATATATATATACACTGCAGAAAACATGGCAATGGACCAACAATAATGGTTTGGCAAACAATAACAGTATTGGGGACATTCCTAGGGATTTACCAGTCAAACACAAGAACATGAGTTTTATACCAAAACAAAACTGATTTTTACCAGTAAAAACAAAGCATGGAGGCAACCAAATTTGGTAAGTCTGAAACTGGACCATGCAAACAATTGCAGGAAACAAAGCTAGAGGATGACTACAGTGACTACAGCCAGAAACTGGTTACAGGTTCATAAGAAAGTTTATAATCCATTTGATTTACTGAGATACTTCCCGAATTTCTACTTAAAGTCCCTGGATGATCTGATGCCCCTGAGGAACGAACATTAGTTGAGCCATGTGCTGCACTTGAGTGGGCCATGTCGCCGAAAAGAACAGCGTCTGTCGGTCACTTCGGACAGTCCTCGGGCTATGGCAACGAGAACCACATCTAGATGTCTTTCAAATCTAATCCAATCTAGTCTGATCCTATCTATCTCTCTATCTATGTATCAATCTATCAATCTATCAATGTATCTGTCTGTCTGTCTAATTGTCTATCTATCCATCCATCTATGTATCTACTGTATACATGTTTATGTCGATTCATTCATATGCATCCCAACTTACTTAAATAGGAATTCCCTGAAACTTGTCACCCGCCAAAACCACCATGTTTCTGGCACTTTGCCAATCTAGAATTCGTCCAGCTCCTGCCCACGAACTTACATCATCCACATGATCCCTACAACATATATATATATATATATTGTAAATATATATATATATTACAACAAGATTATTCCCCATCCACTCATCCGCATCCCATTCCATCCATCAACTACTACTAGTAGTTGCCTAAACGAGAATCATTCCGACTGGTTCCTCATCATCCATAGTTCATCCATAGTTCATCCATCCTCTCATCATCCATCCTCTGATGATAATCATGTACTAATAACATCACTAATAAATAACATTGTGAAATAGTGTGTTGACAATCATAATGATATCTGATAATCATTAGAATCATCATCATTAACTAATAATATCCATCGACAAAACATCATTTAACCAATAACCATCACCCAACTAGTAATAACAGAATAATAACATAGTAACAACATCATAATTACAAGACAACATAATAATTTAACTAGTAATAGTCATTATCAACTATAGTAATATATATATAACTATAGACTATAGTAATAGATCCTCATCATCAACTATCATAGTGACATCCCTCATAGAAACATCATAAAGAATAATCAATAGCAACTCATCCCATCTCATCATCACAATAGTAACATCATCCCATCATCTTATCATCTTCCATCATCTTCCCATCATTGTCTCATCCCATCTGCCGGAGAATAAAATAGAATCAAATGCTGGATCGATCATCCATTCTGCATCATAAATCAAGTAACATCATCATGTTATATCATCTTCCCATCATTTGTTCATCATCATTTTAAATGATTATCCCATCCCATCATCCCATTCTGATAGTAACATCATCCCATCATGTTATCATTGGCAAATCCATCCCATCGTCCAATGGGTCCCATCGCCAGCAAGGATCTTTCCAATGCGCCCCACCTGCTCCTCGAAGCCGCACTCCAACATCCGATCCGCCTCGTCCAGCACCAGCAAGGTCACCCGCTCCAAGGTCACCTCGCCTTGGGACGCTGATTGGGGTCCCATGGGGTCCCATGGCTGGTGAAACCATGGGGAAAATGGCTGGGAAAATGGCGAAATGGGTGATTTTTATGATATGAATGGCTGGGAAATGCTGGGAAAATGGCTGGAGAATAGGTCAAACTTGGCTGGAAAGATAACGAAACATGGTGGAAAATCGATGGAAACATGGAGGATTTACCATAGATGCTGCCGGTGGATTTAATGGACTTACCTATGTTATAAGATCAAGGGATTCTTTGTCGGGAGATTTCAATGTGAAATGGTTTGTGATCCAATATGGGCCGGGGGTCCCTGAAACAATCTCTGGGATTTGGGTGACTTTTTGGGTAATTCGTAGATCACCCTCCGCACTCTCAGAAATCCAGTATTGTCAACCTTCAATGATATAATTATGATATAATGATAGAATGATGCAATTACAGGGCGCTACTCGGATCCCAGTCGTAACTCTTGAAGACCCAAGTAACGGGCATTTGTTCCAGACCGCCAGGGTGGGACTCAAGGGAATGGCACGAGGACAGACCAGGACTCTCCGCAGGATAGTGGTGTGCTCAGCCACGTACTGCCGGTTATAATGGTTAATGATGATTAATGATGGTTAATGGTGGTTTGAACCATGGTTGGAATGTTATAGGATAATACAGCATGATTTCAGGGATCCTCCACCCTGGTGTACTATATACCATGATCCAACGTCAAACATGCACTTAAATTCTCACAAGATCCCAAATGTTATCCCCTCTTGCTTCGAAATGGGCAGCGGTTTACATATTGTACCAGCAATTGGATTCATGGCCCTAGAAATAACCAGCCAACCTGGTTAAGTGAATTATAGTGGATTTCAACTTCAACATTGGAACCAGGACTGAAAAAAAAGATGTCTTTAACGCGACAGTGACAAAGTTGGTGTCAGCAAGGTGCTGCTATCCATGACATCCAGCAAGCGCCCCGGTGTTGCCGCCACCAGATGCCCTGCGTTTCGGACATCCGCCACCTGCGCTGCGGGGTGTCTCACTGCCTGTGGTGAATCCAACAGTTTTGCTGCTGGTCTAATGTCTAATTTGTTTGGTGCTCCCTGTTTGGTAGGTGGTGGCATCACTTTTTGAAAGCATGTTGTTGGCCCTGTGGTAATACCCCAACAATTCCAGGAATGAACAGCCCATTTCAGTTGTTTGTTGATTCTTTTGGTACATGAAAAACTTTCATGGGTTTCAAACTGCAATCAACTCCTTCTGTATACTTAGAGAAATTAGCTTCGCCCAGTGAGCAAACGCAGTCCATGGAACTTCCCAAATGATGGGGCCCTGTTCTCATGGAAGTTTGCCATACACTTCCCATACTGTTGTTTTCAACATGTTTTCGTGGAAGAGGGGCAATATGATCTGTATTTCACAACCTAAAATAAGTAAGCATATTCGGGATTGCTTAGTTGCCCCCATGACCCGTATTTGAAATTGGTCTATCTGAAAACTAACCAATAATCCACTGATCCATAATCATGTTCGAAAAAAAAACAAAAAAAAAACATTGGGAGTATACCAATTTTCAGACACACCCAAACATCAAGTCCTCCATACATGGAAAATTTCCAACATACTCTTCGATATTTGCCAAATTACTATGATCCCTTCCCCCACATGGTCCCCCGAAGGAGTAGATCCAATACTTAAACCCTGGGCTTCAGAGGCGGTATTCAATATTAAGGGAATGGGATTAATTACATTTGCTGTCCAATCACCATATTTAAGCCCAACCCCCTTGACATTAAATCTCTAATCCATAATGCCTCGTTACCCTCCGGTAATCAAACCTGGCAATGGACAAAACTAACAATTCAGTTCCATGATTCTCCCAGCAAATCTCCCAGCTGAGTTTGGGGATTTCCAAGTGCTATCTTTTATTATCATATATTATTATATTATCATATTGTATTACCATTATATTACCATAAAATCCCATTAAATCCCACTGAATCCCTTCCAATTGTTGGGATTGTCAACGCCCTTGCCCTTTGTCAACGGCCTGCCAGGCTTTGCTTCCCTGGCCACCACCATAAAGAACTGCCGAGGACAGACCGCCTGCTGTGGTGGATTTTGTGGGATATCATGTCACATGAAGATATCATGGGAATATATAATGGAATATACAATCAAAAATGGAAAAACTGGCTCATAAGTTACTTGATAGGGGATTTCATGTTTAGATGTGGGTTTTAACCACCAAACTGATGGTTAGATACGCGGGTATACAACCCTTTATATTTTTGAATATTACAAACCATGAATATTTTGGAATCTCCATTCACCAACCTTTAGGGTCCCGTTTGGATCTTCAAATGTTGGCGGTTTGTTACGACACTTCTCAGGTGGGTGTCAAGTACATTTCAAGTACGGAGTATCGAGGATGGTATGTATTTCATATGGAAGAAGGAATATATATATATAACTGATGTATCCAGGTTATGTGGATTTCCCTCGATGTATGTTATGGTATTCTGTCGCAAAAAAAAAAATCTAAATTGTGTCTGGCCACAACCAAGAACTAGTCAGGAATCTAACTACAGATTCCTAACAAAATCTTAATCCAGGAATCTATCGACCCCCGGTTAATTCGTAGGGGAGATACCATGTCCAATGGTGAGTTGTCACTTTCCGGTGCAACCCCAGCAACTGGTAGCATGTGCTGCTGGCTTCTTTCGTGAGCCATAGAATTTCTATCTATGTCCATTTTTTTTCTCCCACAAGGACAAACCTTGAGAAGACTCCAGGTGGTGTAATTGCACTAAACAGAAAATGCACTAACCAGTATTCATCTGGGCAGAAAAACAATGCGTCACGATATGTCTCAATGAAGGCATTTTGGTGCATTTTCCTCTACTAAGCATTGTTTATGGGTTCCAATCTGTCAGCAATGTCGCCAGATCCTTATAATCTTATATAACTACAGGAGCGTTTCAAAAAGTCACATCACCCGGGGAGTTTGAATTTCACCCTGAGATGGTGGAGATGGATGCATTCATCCATAGTTTTGATGTTTCAACTGAGTCAATGGATCCCCTGAGAATCCGCTGATTCAAAACTCAACTACCATCAACTAACATCAACCGACTATCCAAAGAGTCCATCATGTTTGAGTTGTACATCCATCATCATCCATCATAGTGGCAGCACTTTTCGCCGTGCCATGCCTGGATGATTGCTGCCACTGCCGGAGAATTGGGTCACCTACAACGCTGCCACGTGGCGGGCCGATTTTGATGGGAAAATTGGATGGTTTTCACGGGAAAAGCATGGAAAAACATAGGAAAATATGGGAACATCTACTACACATCGAACTAAATGGATAAATGGTGCATTTTCCAGCAAGCCTTGTTTGACACTGGAGGATATTGCTGAAATGTCCATCTGTTGAGAACAAAACCATCAGGTTTGACACAATACAGGTGCGCTCAGTGGGCTCTTTTTGAAGGTGGGAGCTGGACCAGCTGGAGGCTTACCTTTTCTGGGGCGTGGGCATGTCTGAGCCGATGGGTCTAAGTGAGCAGGAAAAAGTTTCATCTCCTCACAATCATAAACCACCTCTCCATGTGACAATTAACAAATCCAGTACACTCCATGGAGGTTTCTAGGGGCGATGTTCATAATTTTACTCAAGCGGGGATATAACCCCAAATTAAGATTGGGTTAGATCGAGCACCCTCTGGACTTGTCTTCCATGTTGATACGCGGCCATATTCATTCAAGTCTATTTTTGATCTTCTTGGTACCCAATTTTCATGTCGGCTGATGTTGGTTTGTTGGGTGGTTGTCTGATGATGGTTGATGATTACATTTGCATGGTGTTTCTACGTGTTTCTATTGCATTGTGTTTTTACTATATTTGACGGTCGACTAGTTGAAAAATGTTGAACATGTGTCATCATCAGCCAACTGTCCGACAATTCAACATCTGTAACCCATGCTTGATAATACTCATGATTTTCTCTATGTGCTTTTAGTTTAAACAAAAAAATGTCATCTGATGATTGACGATAAATTTACCTGTTTGTAATGGCTGATGATACATTTTATCAACTATCATCAACCATCAACTATCATAACTATCCACCATCAACGCCCATAAATGTCTTATAATGTTTGTAAGGATTCTATCATCAACTACCCACCATCTGGCTGTCAGCTGTGCACCGCTTTGGCCATGTCGGCGATCTGCACCGCCAGCTCCCGCGTGGGCGCCAGGACCAAGGCCTCATGAAATCAGGAGGTTTCGGGTGCTGGGAAATGATATAGCAACAAACAATTACATATTATAGTGTAATATGATATAGCTATATAGCTATTAATTTGGTATATCATTTCCCAGCTACATAATATTACATGATATAGATATTAACCTAAATTAATAGTGTTGCTATATAATGACAATGACATATTCATTCACAATAGAATTGGATCTTGTTTTTGGTGATATGCTGTCACTATTTTAGATGTGAGTAATAAATCTCAATCCAAAATAATGACAACATAGAACTAAAAACCAGATCCAATAATAAAATAGTGGTGAAGTTCACCTGTTATCTCTTTTTTGGGGCTTTGCTGTAAATATACAACATTGATCCAAGTTGTTGGTGAAAAGAAGTCTTAAATAAATATAATATAATCCCAATCATTCAGATTTGGAAAATCAAGCATGAACAAGACAACATGATTCAAGATATATTGGAATGGATCTGCCACAGTGGCGAAGGAATCCTGAAAATCTGGTGGCTTGAAGCAGAGGAGCTTTGGTCATACAATGAACTCCTGTCCTTCTCTAGGTCTTCTGAGCTTCCACAAGGCTCCAATCCAAGCGGGCTTCTGAAGGCCTCCCTCTCACATTTCTCTCGCAGAACTTCTCCAGCAAGTGAAAGTACTCGGTTGGTGAATTTTGCATAGATAGCAAGTCATCATTTTTCCCTGCCTTTGCTGCTTGTTGAAGGAACTGTTGTTCTTTCTTGTCGTGTTTGCTGCACGGTTGCAACTCTCGGCCAAGCTTGAAGTGTGTCTGCACCTGGAAGAAAATTGAAAATTGGGAAAATTGGATTTTCATGGATTTTACGAATGACATGGGGTACGCAAGAAAACTGCTGGGACGACCCAGAAGGGGCAAGTGAAACTGTAATTGATGACCTATAACTTATGTGCCAAACCACAATTTTGACTGCAACGTTTAGCAGCCAATCGCCGCTAAAATGCGTTTGCTTGAGTAGCTTATTGGTGGCTATATCCCCTTTGTCACAGATTTTTCTTTGACTTTTGCTGAACTCCCCAACTGGGCTGGTCAAGGCACGATTTGTGATTGGTTACATTCCAGGATTGGCTGCTAAAGTCTTTGGACATTCATGGCTTGTCGATTGGCCCATGTTCATGTTTATAATTGACGAAAACTCCATTTTAGCTGAAAATCAACCCACCATCACCAAGTTTTCGGCCGTGTGGGTATCGGTCAATCCACAAAGTTGGCCAGTTGTAGCATCAAAACAACCATTTTGGACTGTAAGGCTTCGATCATTTTGACTCACAGGTTTTGTCCAGAAATGGGGTATACGGTATACCGTATATACCCTCAAATCACTGGGAATGGCGCAAACCACCATCAATATCCAGTTCATTGGTTTGATATATGCCAATAGCCTTCCCCACATTTTTTGTACTTCCCCTTGTGGTAATTGGAATAGAGATAGAAAACCCACCCAGACATGTAGGTCATATTCCTTGGGAAACTAGTCGTTGTCGTAACCCCAGGGCATGAATTGTAGAATCATCAACCACTTCAACAAATGCCGATTTATGGCATTTGTTAAACCCACTGTAAAACCACTATAATTCTTAGCGTTTCCCTATGGTTTCCATAGATGTTCCATGGATTTTATGATTTTACAATATCTACCCCTGGGTTTTTCCATGGGTTTTCTTCCGTTACCCCTGAGGTGCCGGACCAAGGGCGTCCCTTGACCTTTGGGCTTGGGCGCTTGCGCCTCGAGGTGCGCCAAGGCCGGCAGCACGTAGGCCTTGGGGACTTCGCGGGTCACTGGGAATCACCAGGGAATACGCCCATATTCTGACATCATAGTAATTCATAGTATGTAAATGGGGAATCAGTGTGATCATTATCATGATGATTATGATCATTATCATCATGATGATTATGATCATTATCATCATATCATATAAAATCACTTTGGGAAAACAGAGAATAACAATATGTCATCATGATCATTATGTCCTGGGAATCAACATCATCGGTATATCATGTAACATAGATATGGAGAACCCACCATATTTAATCTAATATCTACAACTGGGCAACTTTTTCATGGCTATGGTGAATTCCCAGAGGGTAAATGACCAGAAGCTAAGAGTCAGTTCCATGGATAGTCATCATCAGGAAAAGGGTCATATCACAAATTAGATAATAACGTAGTCTATTTTTGAATTACCACCATGTTTGCTGGTTGTATCAACCTTATGTCCCAATGGGTTCGGTGGGTGAGTAAAATAGAAAATGTGCATGTCTTTGCAGACTATCGCTCCATATTTTCTTGGTAAATCATCAAATATCTTCATGTTTGCTGGTTATGCTGCTCTTGTGGTGGATAAATAATTGTTTTTGCTAGCCATCTACCCAAGCACCATTTTCTGTTGGTTGAATCCACATGTGGAATGGACAAACCACAATTGCTGCTTTCACAAAAATCTTCGCTGGTTCAATTTGTCAAATCACAATTTCCTCGTGTGTTATCCGTTCAACCATCGTTTCAAGTGGCCAAATCATAACACATCATGCCAAATCGATCAACATTGTTTCACCCGGAAAATGCAATTCTTCGTGAAGTAAAGCTGTCCTTTCGCGAACTCCAAGTTGATCTTGTGCCGGACCCAGTGGGGGCAACAAGTACAGTATCTCTTTCATGTCACATCATGTCCATGTCCGATCCCCATCACCGTTGTATCCCCTCTGTATCCTACAAAACCACTTCGTTTCTAGTTATAAAAGTTATAAGTTATATAATATTACCCCAATCATACTTACAGCATTTGTGAAATCCCTCGAATGCTCATGCTTCAATTCCCAGAACTAGCCACTAAATATGAATCTGTTCCTAAACATTGGGATAAATCATGCAATTCCCATTTTACCATATCTATCCTCTATCCCGGTAGTAAATCCCCCACAAATTGGAAGTTGATTCCACTACCCTCCGGTAATTTATATTTATATAATAGTTTGCTATAGAAAATCGCAATCTTTAATAGGTAAACTATCCAGCTAAATAAGCTATCTGTACCGTGGCAAATGCTAAACTACCAGAGGGTATTCCCCATTAATCTCTCCATGTCTGTTCGTTCAATCCCGATTCATCACCATACGAAGCTCATTAGAATCTCATCACCAATCCCGCTAAAACATATTAAAATTCCCATGGAATCACAATGAAGTCCCATGAAAACGGAAAAAGAAAACATTGACTCACCTCAAAACTCCCCTAAACATGAAACATTACCCTCTGCTAAACTAACATAACTATGGAAAATCACCATTTGTCATGGGAAAACTCACTATAAATGGTGATTTTCCATAGTTATGTTAAATTACCAGAGGGTAAACCCCCCAGCTTCAGTTGAACAACAGCAAGGCACCAAAGTTTTGCCACTGCCGGTCTTGGCGATGCCGACCACGTCCAGGCCCGCCAGGGCCATCCTGGGTCATAACCCTGGTACCCAAACGGTACACCCATAGCAATACGAGGTTTTGACCCATCCCCATATTACCAGTGATAATAGCCATCCTGAGCCTGGGGCTGAATATGACTAGTGTTATAACTTATAACTACTGTTCCAACAATAACTATCCGATCCATATTTTGTTTATTAATGTTCATTAACTATGATTATTTCGTGTCATTCAAAAAACATCATCACTATCATTATTGCATTTGGTTGATTATCGTTACTATTTCTTGTCACGCTCATTTTTCTAGTGTCAGCATAAGCATGAATATTGAGTTTGATTCCAACAAAAAAATGTTCGTTCTTAAACCATCAAGGTCTTCACGAGTAATATGGGGTTGAATGAATTTAACCCCATCTCGCTCTTACACTTCAAATCAAATAATGCAAGTATTTGGGCACTTTTTGCAAACTGTCCCTTTCAATTGATGCTGAAAGTATAGCAATCCACCAAAACGACAATGTCACCAGCAGCAACTATAGGAATATTATGGGATGATTGCATCACAAATCGTAGCCAAAACAAATTAAGGTTTTCACAGTGAGAACGTGGGTACAAAAGTGCAATCGAAACATGGAATGAAAGTCATGCATTGAACACGTTTATTGGCGGTTGCATCGGCAATTCCATGTTGGTGTTCCCTATACTACCACCGTCCTAACCACCAATTTGTTTCCACAAAGGTTCTGTTCGGGTTTCAAAATGTCACAATCGCCCCACAATCTCATGGATTATCATCATTTTCTCCTGAAAATTGGCATAGATTGGGGTACGTATCCACCATTTTTAGACAAACGCCTGAAAATTGGGATGGTTCCCCAATCAGCTACTTGGCCAGGCTAAGACGCAAATGTGTGGGTCTATTGTTCCCCCGTGGTCAAGCAATAAACCCCCATCCCATCGCATTTTAGTGGTTGGTTCTTTCCCTTGTTGGCCGTAACAACCCTATGATTGGCTGCAATCAATAGGGGTATTGTGAATGGAACAAATTAGTATAAATCCTGCAACTCCAACGATCAACCCCAGCTGAGCGGCGGAATAGCTTGGGCCTGGCATCTTTTAAGACCATCAGGAAAGACTCAAACAAAGACACCAGCGGTAGCAGCAACAACAACGAGGAAAAACATGTTAACATTTGTTTACAGAAGGATGAGGAAATTAGCCTTCAAACCGCACACCCTTCTTGGAATGATGAGGACAGCAATGTTACAGTAATCATCATCTGCATTTGTTTCTGTTTTGTTCATCCATAACAGAGAACTGTGAAGGTCTCAATTTCGAGACTGATGGGTTTTCCTTTTGCACATTGCTTGCCAAAACATCGCGTGGAAGTCGGATGGTGTTTCTCTGCCAATGCAAGAGCAGGGATTGCCCAGGAAAACATTCATTCAAACATGGTACGGACAAAGGGGAGATGTGGGAATTTTAAGAAGCATGGTTATACGTATTATATGTTACTTGTATGGTTATCCATGTTTTAAGTTAATGATGGTAATAGTAAAATAACCATGTGGTATATTACTGATCATTTGTGATAACCCAATAATTATTATCGTATGGTATTTGTATGGGTTGCACGTCATAATACCAGTATGACTATAGGTAGCACAGTAACCATGGGAAACCCATAATCATTAATTATACAGTATTAATAGTTCGTGATAACCCACGTAACTATATAAGACGTATGATATATATATATATAGCCTTAAATAGCAATACAATATTGATGGGTACTCATTACGGTGAGATATGTTGTAATAATTCACATAAATAGTACTCATATGGTTTGCCCCAATTGAGAATTATAAACGATTTGTTAAATTACCTCCAGTTGGGGTTGGTTTATAGAATGAATTATATGGTACCCATGATAATCAAACATGGCTAGCTGAAGAATCTCACATTTTGGGTGAACTTGTTTCTTAATATGCCCATTAGTAGGGGATTTCAAGTGTACATATATTAAAATATATTTATATATACACATATTTAAATGCTGCGTTCCCCCACCATTCAACTGGCTACTGCAAACAATGTAGGGAAGCCACAGCGGCCAGCTGGCCTGGATGGGCATAGGCACCTCAATGCCCATAGCATTGAGGCCCTCGTAGGCATAGTCTGGAAGGATGCCTCAGGTCTGAAAGTTTTCAACAAACAATGAGGATGTGTATTTTTGACAATGTACATATATATATATACAGATACGGGTGCTATGTATATGTTAGAAATGTATATATACATATGTATATATATATTTTAATATATCTATATATATGTATACATATGTATATATATAAGTATGTATATATATATAAGTATGTATATATATGTATATATATACACGTATAAATATTAAAATGTCAAACTATATATATATATAAATGTATGTATGTATGTATGTATGTATGTATGTATGTATGTATTTATATATGTATGAGGGTGTTGAACCAACCTAATGCTGTTTTAATCCACGTGGAAGGTGTTTTTTAGTCTTTCCTCCGCAACTTGATGTGTCCAAAGCAACAATACATGGATCAATCGACAACCATATGGAGATCACCGTGATTATAATCATTAAAGATAGAAATATGTCTTCAAAGAGAGTATACAAGACTCGCAAGTTCAAACTCAAAGCAGGATGATCTTGTCATGGGCAAACTTAGGCCAGTGTAAAAATACAACCCCCAGAGCAAGCCATGCGCTCATCGAGGCCAAGGGCGGAGAGTAACAAGATTTTCCAAGATCCAGTGGTTGTTCAACCTAATGACAAAGCCCCCACGCTTCAAACTTGTGGTAAAACGGTTGCGCTGTAGGCGGTGGTATCGATGCATGCAGCTGATGAACAAGTAACATCAGGAATAATTCTACTGGACAACTAAATGGGATGAAATGGGGAAACATTGCAAAAGTCAATAACTCCACAAAGATCATCACCTTAAAAAGCACAAATCTGCGTCAAACCGGAGATTCACTTTTGGAGGCTCCTTTTTGGTATCGGAATCTACATTGGCTGGATCGGGACGGTATAGATCGCGACCTTGCGGGCTACCCCGACCATCCCGACCGGCCCTAAAGAAACACTAAAAGAAACCTCTAAAGAAAGCCTAAAGAAACCCTCATCCCGACCATCCCGACCATTTATTCACGATGTTGATCCAGGGTCGTCTTTGACGCTGATTCTGCGACGCTGATCCGAACCTTTGGATGTTGATTCCGGACACTGCTCTGTGATGCTGATTCGACTCGATAGTTTCTGATCTGGAATTTACTCTATCCAGGCCGAGGCTTACCCAGAAACCACCATCCTATGCAGTAAGGTCAAATTCATAGCTTTTTTGGGGGGTTAATCACTAGCCCTCTTTGCCAACCTCCACCATCCACCATTTATAGAAACCATGAAGAAATGGAGAAGTTGAGCACCTGCATGGTGAAAATGAAGTATCCATCTATCTCACATCCTGAGAGATTTGTTTCAACCTGTGTATATCTAGTATATAGTGTGTATATATAAATAATATTAATAAAATTAAAATAAATACATATATATATGTAAAACAGGGGTTCCTTTACCACCCTTCACTACCTTCAGGCCTTGCAGGTCCTCAAAGGAGGAGATGGGCGGAAACCTCGGAGCAGTGGAAGCAGTGGAGAATAGCAATGCCTGGGAAACACCCGAAACACCCCATGACGTGGACACATAGATTTCCACTATCTGCCTACTTATCTATCTACCTATCTATCTATCTATCTATCTATCGATCCATCTATCTGTTAAAGAAATCTATTGAACTAATACAACTAAAAGGAAACATCGGTCTCAAGAGATCTACCTGGCTGTGTTGAAGGAAAGGGTATTCGGTAATCTTAGCTGGTCGACTCGTCGATCAATCTTTGACCAGATTCCTTTTTGGGGGGTCTTCATCAATGGTTCGTCATTGATTTCCCCCAGCATTTTCAAATTTAAGTTGCTCCCGGTCTTTCTAATCAAACCAGACAGCCATACTTGTTGGTCAGATCAGGATCTTTTGGTCGTGATTTGACCCGCAACAAGAAAACAACTCATCAATGAATGGGGAAAAAACATGGGGATGTCATAGTATATCATAATGCACATAATGTATATATATATACTATACCTATACGCCTATACATCAACACATAGATATATACATTATAAACATAGATGTACATCTATGAGCCTATCTATATATTTACATATATATATATACATAGATATATGCATATCTATAATATATATATACATATATATATACAAAATAGATATACCTATCTATGGAGAGAGTCCAAACCACCGAGCAACGCATCCAGCACCTGCTCCGGCATCTCCACGCTGATCTCCTGCGCCTCCCGGCTCTCCTCCATGCCTCACCAGCGCCCAGGGACCGGGGACCTCTTCAGTCCTGGTTGGCTGTTGAGGTAACCGAGATGTTTGGTAAACACGAAATATCTTATATAATATATAGTGGTAGTATATATATATATATGTTATATATACATATATGTTATGTACATATACATATATTTGCGTCAAGAAACTAAATAAACGAGAAAACTATTGTAGAATCCAGACTAATTCTTGGATTTTGCCGGGAGGTCCAAAGTCTCGTCCTGCAGAAAGGTCAAATTCCAACGCAGGCTAGACTTTCTCACTTACCCGGATTAAAAAAAGCTCTCAAACCCGAAAATTCTGAACCTGAAACCTTCAAAACCACCCTTAGAAAGCAAACTCCACATGCAAAATTGATCAAAATTGTTGCGTAATACGGATGATACCCCTCTACGCTGCGACGCCTGGCCAAAAACCCGTTGCCACTATTCTACATGTAGAATGATACTAGTATAGATATTTCTAATGTTACTGGTTATTGATATAGATATACACAGTCTCAATATAGGTATAGACTGTATAGATATTTCTCCAGGTGTTTCGTTGGTAAAATAAATCCACATTTCAAGTAGTAATATCCTCATCTATTTGCAATTGAAATGCACATGATCGTTTGTGCAGGTCTTGTGCCTGTATTCCTGGTTTAGGTATCCAAGTCCACAAAATCCAATGGGGTTGCCAATTCTGTTCTACTCGAACAAAAAGAAAAAAGGGCGAATGAACACGTATATACATACAGTATGCATAGATAGTTGTACAGGTCTCTTTCCAAACAGCAAACAAATATCAAATCATATTCCAAACATATCTAGTGTGTAAATCCCTCCACATATAGTTGTAATATAACCCATATTTCAAATCTTCAAATATCTTCAAAACATATGTACCTTGTGTTTTGTTTCCCCCCAAAAAAAGACCCAATGCATCCAGGTGGCTTTGCACATCCTCGGCGCTCAAATCCTCTGGTGCCTCCAAGAAGACCTTCCTGAGATCGACGCCCGTCGAAAATCGGGGTTTCATTGGGGGGGTTGATGGAGCGGTTCAACGGTTGGTGAGTTTCGGGATTCCCATGGATTCCAACAAGTTGGATTACCATGGATTCCCCAATTAAAAATCCCCAATATATTGGTCAGTATAATTCTCTATATTCTCATATAATTCTCTATAATCCCCATATAATCCCCATATAATCCCCATATAATCCCCATATAATCCCCAATAAAAAATCCCCAATATATTGGTCAGTATAATTCTCTATAACTATCAACCAACAGGTTTCATTCAAAGAGGGATCATGGGGATTCAGCCCGAGAATCTCATGTGGATAAAGTGGGTAGATCTTCATGGAGGCTGGACATGATAGGGACATAATAGTGGGATTTAATGGGGATATCATTGGAATAACATTGGAATTTATTATGCCGCAAATGAATAATTTCAGCAGCACAAACCAACCCATTTTGGTCGATGTACGGGTATATACTGGGATAACACCCCCCAAAACCCCAATAGATGGTGGGTATAAGCATCGGAAATGGTAGTTTTACCCTCTAAAACTGGTATCCAACTAGCAAAATGTGGATAATTCCATGATATTCCCGGGATAATGCCATAATGCGTGAGTTTATGGATAGGGTTTCTTAACCACCAACAACCACTGATAAGGGCGATTCTTAACCATGTAATATGAGGGTCACCGAAATGGGGTGGATTTAAGTTGAATCCCCACGACATCACCGTCAAATAAGGAATACATCCCCAAATTCTACCCAGATGGTGAACATTATAGGTTTGACAAACCTGCATTATTTCATAGTTATATATATATAATATGGTTAAACTAGCAAACGCTATCTAACAATGTGCTATATCTGAATAAATCTAGCAAAATTCACAGAGCTGAAGTGATTGGTTTCACAAACATTAGTTACTGCAGAAGGGTTTTTGCCATGTGCTTTTGTTTGCTAGGTGCAACAAATCATCATGATGATGTCCTGTTGTTTTAGGACAAACAAACTTTGGGTTTCTTCAATGGGGGTTCATCCTTTATGAATCGACCAACAGGAAAAATACATCTATGATTATGATTCCTGTAAATATGTATATAGCTGGGAACATTTGATATATATTATATATATATATTGTATATATATATATTATATATATAATTATATAGTATATATATACCTCAGTTCCGATAGAAGATGATAAATATCCGAATCAACCAATGCCATAAACATCCAAGTCGTCGGGATGGTTGGAATCCCATCCATTGGCTCTACCATATTAACATGGTGCTACAACATATTACTACAAAGTAAGTGCTATTGATGGTTTTTACCACATTTCATATCTCATAAATAATTCTAGTTCTGCTTAATAATAATAACAACCAATATCATGATAGGGTTAACATTTAACATCATTTAACCGTGGTTATTGATGGTTATGGGCTTTTAAGACTAGCTATTGGGTTCTCACAACCACCAAACATCTTCTCGGTCGAGTTTCTGAAAAGGAGCTAAAGACTTCGTTGAAGCCACCTGGCCGGCGAACTTAATGGAACCCAGGGATCCTGTCAGTAGGATATCAGAACATGTCATCTTCCTCCATCTATATAATACATAGTATAAATATATATATATAATAATCAAAAATATAGTTAAATCTTGTTTATCTAATGGAATTTGTCTTAAGACAATCCAGCACTACAAGGTCATTCTCTGGTGGAAAAAGCAGATATAGTCATCTATCAAAATGGCCAATGTTTACTTTTCCATTCGCCAGTCTGCTTCCCCAGGTATGGGGAATGTACATTCTTCGAATGCTTATTTCGCTTGGTTTCAAAGTGCATCATGTCTTAGGTGATATGGCCCATAGCAACCAAACGCCAATCTGCGAGGGACCCGGGGATTCAACGTGCTTGACATGACCAATGCATATCAATTCTCGGAGTGATGCCAGGAATTGTGACTTGTGATGTATTCTACGTAACGGTATGTTGTTTTTTGGTTTCAACCAACTAATGTGGTGATTTCACAAACTAACAGAATTTCTAATGTAGTAATTAAACCTAATTCTCAACCATACCCGATTGTGCTACTTGGTCGGCCATTGAAAATTGGGGATTCTGAGCGGGTGTATCGCCCACCAAAAACAAACAGAAGAAAAATACAAATGGCATAGGGAAACTGGTTGCAGAAAGACTCATTGCTGTAGATTCATTGCTGTAGTTTTTTCGTGTATATATATATATCATTTACCATATCACAGACCTGAATTAAGGCGATTAAGGCAACCTTTGATGGTATCCCTGCTCGCTCTCCTTCCAGTCCTTTTGTCCACCTCAATTGTTCATGGCATGGCATGCAAGTACCAGCAAATAAAGTACGTAAATATACCCACCATTACCCACCAATTTTATAGTGTTTTCAATGTGGGGATTGCAGTACTTAAAATAGACTATACAAAACCACTGAATATCACTGATGCTCTTTTCCCCCAACTACTACATTACCGATAATTACTCTCAGAGCATTAGTACTCAGGGAATCTCAGGGATACCAGCATACCCATTACCCGCAGTGTTCCGGTTTTATTTTCTGTCTGCAGCACCTGCACTAGAAACCGACTGAGAAATTGGTTCTGCTGCTTGGATTAGAGAAGGAGACCTACCATGAGATCTGCTAACCACCACGTATGCCAATCAACCAACTGGGGTGAACGCAAAGGTATAATGAATTGCAATGCTCACGAAACCAGCAGAACCCCAAGCCTAATCTGATCGGCCCTGGAGCCAACAACGGCCTGGCCTGGCTACGGCTACTATTTCAAACTGCCATGCAAAGGTTACAACTTGGCTTCGACGGACCAAGCAACTCAGAATTGGTTTGGGCTAAAGGGGTACCACCGAGGCCCCAAATTCGATGTAGTTCCAAACATCAACTATCTCTCAAACATCTAGTATATCTAGTGTGTTTTTGATTGTTTTGCTGGATACCCATGGATACCCTATTTGACCCATACCCACTGAGAGTGGGGAACACCAAGGTCTACTTTTGGCGAAACCAAAGACCTTTGACGATGCAATGGCTCAGCAGGAGCTGCAGGCATCGCGAAGTGCAGGGTGTCCAAGTATCGGGGACGTTTTTCTATAAAGGCTCCCCCTGCAACGACTCAAGCAAACCATCATCAAAGTGTTTATTTATAGATGATGGTAATGAAATATATCATATATCAATATATATCATATGTTTAATGAAATACCATATATCATATTGTTTAATGAAATATATGGTATTTTTCTCCAAGCCTGAAAGTTGCACACTCAAATATGTACAGCTGTACATGGTCCTGCCAGCATCTTTGGCTGAATTGTGGCAATACCGACCTACATTAATCACTGGCAACATCTGATGCCATTAGGAAGACGCTGTTTTGTGTTGTGAATGGGTCTCTCATTGTTCTCTGGCCTGGATTCCAATGGGCCCTGTGAGGCTTCTTGATATACCCACATGTGAATACTCATGTGAATGAAAATGAAAGTAAAATCATCCTTGGATCTGGATCACTGGATAATGCCTAATAAATCTTACCCGAGATATGACTTTCTATTGGGATTCCTTCCCAAAAACATCATCAATTCAGGTGAGATCATAGTGTGGTTGCTCAGTTCTCGGGATTTATGGGGACCCCAACGATTTTCCTAGGCTTCGACAGCTCAGTCAAAGCCCGCAACGTCAATCGTGGCGCACTGCCCAGTGCTGTAGCACAGCAGGTGCGCCCGCATGCGGTGACGCTCCCAACGCCCAATGGCCCGAATGCGGTCCCCCACCCAACGCTGGCAGCTATAGAAGGCTAAGGCATCCTCTGGTGGTTGCACCCCCCCAGTAAGATATGCGGAGTGAATTCGTAGAAATGACAACCAAAACATATGGGTGAGGAACCAACAAGTTAACGCGTCGATGTTAGTAAATAGGTGTAAACATATTGTCACTGTGAATATGTGTGCATCATCCTAGTTTCAGGGATGGAACGAAAAGCTTGAAACCGCCATCCTCGATCTCTTCACCCTCGTCATAGCCACCTGCACCTTACCCAGCTGCACTTCAGGGTTTGGTTGGTCCAGAGCAAGAAAGGGCGAGCAGTGCTTGAAACTGACCAACCAAACCCAGGCATGGCAATGAGATCTGCAGAATTGGGCTGCTTTTGGTGGTCTTGGACTATCCCGTTCTTGCTTTACATGGTGAAGTTTTCGCCGTTACACCCAAGTGCCCTTGCCAATCCAAGGGCACGTTTGACAAACAGGGACTTAGAGAACAGTGACTACATCCCATTCGAAAAACAGTTATGAAATTGCATAAATTAGGTGCAGCACATGCTGAAAAGGCAATCCAATTGTCCAAAAAGCAACAGAAATACCAGTACAAGGTGTGATCTGTATCTGTCATCATTTGAGATTAAAGAGCAATGCTCCAGTCCAAAACTGGATTCTATTCATCCCCATTATATCCCCATTTCCCCATGGAATTCCCATAGATTCCTCCATCAACACATCCCCATGTAACCAAGATCCACCAAGATCCACCAAGATCCACCAAGGCACGCACGCCGCAGTCCATGGCCTCCTCCTCCTGCCACTGGCAGCTGCTCAGCTCCGACAGCTCCGACAGCAGACCCAGCAGGTGCGACCGCACCCGCACCGCGCGCGCCTGCGACAGCGCCAGGCCCAGCTCCGGCGGCGCGTCAGGGCGGGCCGTGCCGACGATGCTCAGCCTCGGCAAATAAGTTCGACGGGTCGACATTGGAGCCTAAAACATGATGTTTAAGATGGGACTAGTCTGGAAACGAACAAAAGATGTTCATGTCTAGGAAAAAAACACATGTTTACTGTACTATGTGTTGAAATACATGTCCAATTGTGGGATGGTTGTGGTAATATGATCGCCCAGCGAGGTTGTGTTCAACAGTTTTGTTGGTTCAAATCTCAACCTCATGTTGGGTGATATACCTGTACGTAGTTCTTGGTTAGCGTATACTCATACTAGAGGTATAACATGGTGTAACTATGCCACCCTGTCACCTTGTCTTCAACTTCCTTGTTGATTGAAACCCGTTCTTGGTTGGTTCAAGCACAAGTCCCATCAGTCAGATCCCAAGCATTTTGCTTGAAGCACGTCGAATCACTACTACTGTAGTCAATCGCGTATTAGTCAAGGGCACCAGAGAAACACTTTCCACATCTTTCCACAGTGCGATACCGAGGCATCGAGGCACCTCAGGCCCGGATGCTTCACGAGAATCCCTGCAATCCTTTCCAGCTCATGATGTGCATTGATGGTGATGGCATCACTGGCGAAGGCAAAACTTATGGCTGCCTCGATGTGGCCACTACCCATCAAAATGGGGTTGGAACATGTTGGAACCAGGCAAAAAGTGGCTCTTACCCGTTGTACCCATCAAAATCATATTTGGACGGTTTTCAAGCCGAAAAACATGGTTAAGAATTAACCAGCAATGAAGGAACAACTATAGCCCTTTCCAGATATTGGCTATTAATATGTTATTGGATGGGTGTCAATTGGTGCATGCAACCAGCCAATATTTGGCAATAAATAGGGTTGCAATGCACCTAGGCAGGGTCATGTAACACTCCAATGGTGTTGCAACTTCTCTTGAACTGTTATTCATCCTGGTAGATGATACTTTATCGGGATATGACTCATGAACCAATCTTAATGGGGACATGATGGGATACAACCCAAAAAAATGGTTGATGTTAATGGGTCAAATCCCTTGACAGTCCGACATACTCCGACTTTAACATCCCAACACGCCAATGTGGGGATGTGGAAAACTAACATGATCAAAAAATGGATGCACTTATAATAGGTAATCGCACGCCTCAGACATGCGGATCTTACAATACCAGGCAATCTGGTGTTCAGACGTGTTTATCATCTCTGGAAGGATTGGAGAAAATAAACAAAGAACCTGGAAAGTTTAGACACCCGAAAAAAAGTGACTGAAGAACTGGGATCACAATACCATCTTGAGGCACCAAAAAAATCCGGCTACAATTCATTCCGAATTCGTTCTATCCCCACCTACCCGGCACTTTTTGGCAGAAGTGGAACATCCAAAAAATGTGAAAATGTAACCAGCCCAGTGGCCAAACACGGTGGCTCTTGGCACAAATGCAGGCGTTCCAGGGTCCACTCTTGTTTCTCCTTTGGCAGCATAGCTCGAACTGACCTGGGAAATCGCAGAACCCCCTAGCAAGCAAGGATCAAACACACTAGGCGACCAGCCAAAAGAACAGCAAGGTCAGTCAACAAAATGCGCAAATCAACAATAAATCGTCCATGAGCATCACGAGGCAGTATGCCGACCAATAAATAGCTGAGGGTCCAGAATTGCTTTGGGATTTATGTTTTTTCCGTTTTGGGTGTTTTTTTGGATCCGTTTTTTCTGCCCGTTTTCCTTGCTATTTGCAGCATTTTGGAGCTGGAAGCTGCCATTTCAACTGTCTTTCCTACATTTTTGGAGTTGGAACCTCTCATTTTCCATAGAATTCGCAACATTTTGGCGGAATTTGTAACTTTGGAGCTGGAAGCTGCTGTTTCAACGGTATTTGCAGCATTTTTGAGTTTGAACTGTTCATGTAACATGATAGTTTGCAACTAGGGTTCATTTAGGGTTGGTTTTAGGGTTAGTTCAGGGTTTTGTTTGGTTTCAAGTTTTTTAAGGGTTGGGTTTAGAGTTAGGGTTTATTTAGGTCCTTTTCAAAATTAGTTTAGGATCTTTCTAGGGTCTGTTTTAGGTCTTATTTAGGCTTGGTTTAAGATCTATTTATGGTTGGTGTGGGACCTATTTGGGGGTGGTTTAAGGTTTGTTGAGGGTTGGTTTAGGATCTATTTAGGCCTGGTTTGAAATATATTTAGGGTTTGTTTACGGTTTATTTAGGCTTGGGTGAGCATCTATTTGGGGTTGGTTTAGGGTGTGTTTAGGATGTTGTATCCAGGCTTGGTTTAGGATCTATCTAGAGTTGGTGTAGGACCTATTCACAATTGGATTAAAGTGTGTTTAGCGTTGGTTAGGTCTGGTTTAAGATCTATTTGGGGCTGATGGCTG